AAACACAACTTAACTATCAAATATACAAAAAATATAGGAATAAAGTTTAGGATAACCGGTATAAAATAATGAAATAAAGTAATAATGATCAAAAAAATGACACCGCCACTGGATATTTCAATAGTATTCAATATTCCTACTCTTTTCAGAAGAGACCGTGAAGTTGGGGATAAAGCAAGCGAATAGGAAAGGCGTAAAAGCCATGGCAACCGCGTGGTAAAAAATCCTGTGACGTACTCTCGCCAATCATGTTCGATGAATAGGCGGCCATCGCGGCGATGCCGGTTTGCCAATGATATCGTTGAAAAATCTTCAACTTTCATAATAAGCAGATTATACAGAATGAAAGAAATAAGTTATTAAATAAAACATATCGAACAATATGAACTACGTTAAAATTCCTTAATAATATACGTCAGAATATATGCTAAACACATTATATATAATAAAAATATATTAAATTTATAGTTCATGTCTGGCAATTTTGCAATTTTATAGATAAACGTGGCAATATCGATATTTTTTTTCTCGCATTCCTTCCGTAGCTTCAGATCCGCCGGTCAAACAGTACGCGTTGACCCGTAATATTTAGTCTGCCGACTATTTAGTTGGAAAATTGAAAGCAATACATACTTATGGAGCTGATAGGCCGACTATTTGATTGCACATGAGAGCAGCTTCATAAGGATATATTGGTTACAAATATGCAACTAAATAGTCGGCCGATTAAAAATTGTTTGTCAGCGTAGAGCCAAGGCTACGCAATGCAATCAAATATTGGGCCGATCGGCTCCATAAAAATGTATTGTTTTCACTTTTTTGCAACTAGTCAGCCAACTAAAAATTACATGTCAGTGCGTACCCTATTATCCTAAAAAACTCACAAGAGAAATGCATGCTTCATTTAGAAATATGTAATAATTACTTTTATTCAAATATGCGATAATTGTTTTGAGTAGTTTATTATTTTTATTAGCCATTTATTAATTAACAAAAAACTATAATTATTTTTAAATGAAAATTGTTGGATAAATTATTAACCAATCCAATTTAGTACTGTGAGAAACCCTCACGAAAATGCGTTCATTCTGTCGTGCATTGCGCTATGTTTCTGCAGATAATAAGCCGGCTATTCTTTGTCTAATTGTGCGATTAGAACCGAACATTATTATTATGGGGACCGGCCTACCATTGTCCTATTAATTCTAATTAATTCTGGGCGAGACATTCGAACTATTCTCTCGGCTTCTTGAGCAATTATCGACTATTATCTGTCGCTTTTGTTCCAGAAATCTGACTGACTACGTTTACCTATGTCGAAAATTTAAACAGATTTGAAGCTGTTTACATTTCTTTCAATTTAAACTTGGATTTGATAATAAATATGCACTACTATACTGTGTGCATCAGTCAAATGGGATATCAGATAAATGGACAGGGGACACGTCGTCAATTGGTATTTTTAATTTCGCATTTCTTATACCAATTTTCAAATATTTCTTAAATATTAAGTGTCTTTAGTAAATTGTGCTTTCTTTCTCAGCATTAAGGGGGCGCCCTGTGCCGGAACTACCGCAACCTATAAGGTCTATTGTTTGTGTATTACCACAAATTACCTATAACAGATGCGAAAGAAAGCGACTGCATCGGAAACCGCTCGGCAAACCCGACACGCCTATTGAGTGGTGTAAATACACCAGTCGTTTAGTCCGGAAACCTATGCTGTGTCGTATTCGCTTGCTGGAATGACATAGTGCGTGGTTATATGTTTCTTTTTAAAAACGCGTGTAAGATTTTTGATGGACTTTTGAACTGTTATTTCTAAGTTTTGGTAATTTGTATATCTTATTTAAAATGGGATGCAAATGTGTATATTTATAAGGAAAAAAAGATATTTATAGTATAAAAAATTAATTTATTTAACAAAATTTAATTAAAAATGTGACAAAATAGTTACCTTTCTATTGGTTCTATCGGACTTTTTTCGACTATATAAATCTTTATTTGTAAACTTTAATACATCAAATATTTTCAATCTAATTAATCATTTAATGATGTAAATAAGAGGAAATTTCTCACATGGGTGGTCAAATTTTATAGTTTTCATTATATCAAACAGCCTCTGAGAAATGTTTTCAACTCAAAATGCCTTTAATTATGTTTGACTACATCATTAAAAAGGGTGTTCAAATACATCAATGTGATATTTGTCTAAAATTTGCAAAAAAATCCGAATCTCTGGATAACTCGAAATTATTTACCCATTTAAAAGCCTTTGATCATGAAAGTGGAAAAATTTGTTCATTTTATTTACAGGCTGGAAAAATTATTTAAATTAAATTTTGATGAGTTTTGCACTGAAGAAAACGTTCAGAGGCTGTTTGATATAATGAAAACTATAGAATTTGACCACCCATGTGAGAAATTTCCTCTTATTTACATCATTAAATTATTTATTAGATTGAAAATATTTTATTCATTAAAGTTTACAAAAAATAAAGATTTATATAGTTGAAAAAAGTCCGATAGAACCAATAGAAATGTAACTATTTTGTCACATCTTTAATTAAATTTTGTTAAATAAATTAATTTTTTATACTATAAATATCTTTTTTTTCCTAATCACCTACGAGCTGATATAATATGACGAACAATCTATTAAATTACTGCGAGATTATACAGAAAAGTCCACAGACTTCGAGACATAGGAAAATCAAGTCCATTTAGCGTGTGTCCAAATTTTGACAAGTTTTCAAAAATTACAGTTTTGTTTAGACTGACGTTTAATTTCACCTGACTTCTCGGTGAATGATTTCTTTTTATGGGGGTACATAAAATCTAAAATTTACGGCCATGAAGAAATTAAAACTTGGAGCAGTTAAGGCAGAAAATATTTAATGCCTTTGACACTGTCACCCCTGATATGTTATCCAATGTGAGGAGGGGATTTTATGATCGTTTGGGTTATTGTTTAATGCAAGAGGGAGGCACTTTTGAACAATTTTTGTAATTTTTTAAATTTCATTATCCTGTTTTTTTTACCGCTTACCCATTACCTACCTTGACGAACATGGGAAAACGAAGGTCCTTTTCAGGACCACAAATATTTTGATTGAGAAAATTGGTAACTTTTTTTGGATTAAAAAACAAAAGTTGTTAATATAATACCAATTTAAAAGTGTTTTAGTAGTTTTAATACACGCTATGATATAAAATTTATTATTATTATAATGTACATTATTAATACTATTGTTCATTCGAAATGGCATTAAGGCCCAATTGCAACAATGATTTAAATTTTTCTTAAAGATAAGTAGAGCTTCGAATGAGCTGTATTTATATTTACTTTAATATTCACCTTAAATGAGGGAATTTGACTGATACAATTTTTGAATTTGAATTGTTTTTAATGATACTAACAATTTTAGTTCAATTTTTAATAAAAGTTATTTAATATTAATAGAAATCCAAGAGATTTGAAACCTCTTTTAGCGATTTATAACATTCTCAAATGAATTACAGGTGCCCTTATTTTCTATGAAAATCACACAGCTTTTTTCAAAGTCGCTGCAGTTGCTATAGCTATAAAAACTATTTTTTAAGGTGTGAAAATTGCGACACACGCTAAATGGACTTGATTTTTCGTATGTCTCGAAGTCTGTGGACCTTTTTGTATGCCTCGATAACATATTGGTGCAGATTATATTTTCACCCAAACAAATAATAACCCAAACTATACATTGATGCGGATTGTCTATGAACTCTTTCTGAAGGTCACAAAAACCTGAACGCGTAATTCGGTGTTCTTTCGCATCTGTTGTTAATTTGTGGTATTACTATCTGCAACCACTCTCCTGTCCCTATACCCTGCACCTACTTGTGCAGGTCCTTGATAGGATGGGAGCATAGTTTCTCCGGTTCTAGCCTCGCTTTCCCAATTGGTCAGGATCGTCAGAATCCTATCTTGGTCCAGAGGCAGTACTAGCATTACCCAAATTTATAAACCCTAGTACAGTAAAACTTTGCATCAAAGAACTGCAGAAAGTCAACTGGAAAACAAGGGCACAGACATAGCAAGGCTTTATCCAAGGACCTAATTCTAAAACCACAAAGGAACTGCTAATTCTTAGCAGGAATCAAGTGAGCATTATAATAGGTCTCTTGATAGGATTTCCGTTCGGCGTAGTCTTGAATTGTATGCTTTTATTTCGTCCGAAATTTTTTCCGTTCTGTTCGCTTCATTTCGTTTCAGACAAGTGAGCTACTAGCTTAAACGCTAACATACCAGACAAAAATCATTAGGTGGCTTTATTACTGTTGAAAACCCCATATGTAATATAATATTACGAATATCCACAAAACCATTAAAACTTTAGAAATACTTTAAATACAAAAAATGTTATTTTTTTTAATCTCCACCTACAAAATAAATAAAAATAATAATCCTGATCCACTCACACCTTTTTGAGCCACCCTATAGAAGTTAAAATATTTTCCTGAAATACATCCTAGCACATACTTTAGGTTTGCACTTATACAAAATTCATAAGTTATTGGTGCTACAGATGCCCGACGCACTATTGCCCAACCCTGTATATTATTGACCTAAAGAAAAAATGTTACTAAAAAATCAATAACAGTTAATCCGTCTAAAAACTAGTAAAATATCATGAAAATCGGATAAAAAATGAAAAAAATGATAAAATATCAAAATTGAAATAAAATTGAGGCAGATTTTTTTTCAAGGTAGTGTATGTATAGTGTATGTATTATTTTTAAAGAATTTAAATGTTATACTTATGTACGAATCAGAAGTTTGGTGACTAAAAGCTTGTAAATTTTAAGAATACTGAACAAACATTTTTCATATCTCGCAATTTCAGTAGCAATATAAAAAGCCACCAATCAATATTCATGAAATTTCGCAAAATCGTTCAATACCAATAATATCACAAACCGATAATACATATAAAATTGAGTCACCTCGATGATGTAACCAATGGCAATTGTTCAGGGAACCAACGCGCACGCCACAACCAAGTACCACCGTCCAAACGATAACAAAATCGTATCGTTACCAGTACCAATGGTACACACACTCACACCAACTCACACCGTCGACCAGCAGGATTAACCCAGACCCAACAACCCGAATACCTTTATGTCTTCAGTTTTATTCGCGGCCTCCAAACGTACGGTACCACTGAAAATGTCGGCTCACTGAAAACTTAACCTATAAAAGCGAAAAGTACCGATTGCTAGAGAACGCGTTTTGGTTTGGTTCTGGTTATAAACAAACATGCTGTAAGGGGATATGTGGATATTCATTACTTCATTGTAGAATATATCAGTGATTTCATTGAAAAGGTATTGTGTATTAATGAAAAAAAAAGTATAAATTAAATTTGAAATATAGTTTTGGTACGTTTTTGATCTCTCATCTTTATTTAAAAGAATGTTTAATTTTAGACAATAAAAAACTCAACAGAAAACAATACAAAAAACAAAAAACTTAGGAGACCCGTCATTTATAAATACCGGGTGGTATTTTGTTTAGTTTGACGTTGGAATCATAGGAAATCGCATGCAAAATTTAAACTTTCCAAATATTGACACCCTGTTAATTTTACAGTAAAATGGAAAATAAGTTTTTTAAAGATCTGCGTATGCTGAATACACTTGCCAAATTTGAACAATTTTGGACAAGTCGATTTTAGCTAATTTAAGAAAACCTGCATCAATTTTTAAATCGAAACTATGTAAAAATGCACAACCAGAAAATGCCAACATACCTTAAGTTGTCAACCTATGATTTTGTGAATGCCAAATTGTATTTTCTATATTGGTAGGCTTTTGCCTAATTCTAACAAGTTTTTCGTTGCAAAATGCAGGTATTGAAATGTAATAGTGTAGACAGCACGACAAATTACAATTGAGAAGCTTAGAACAAAAGGGATACAAGTGATTTTTTTCTAAATGCAGATTTAGATAATTTAGGTACCAATTTATGTAGTGTAAAATGGGATTAAGTAAATTCTACAGTGGCACTAAGTAGAGTAGAGGGTAGAATTTACTTAATTTCCTTTAATACTAAATAAATTGGTATCTAAAGTGTCTAAATCTGTACTTAAGTCCATTTAGAACAAAATGTCATTTGTATCCCTTTTATTCTAAGCCCCCCAATTGACAATGATAAATTCATAAATATATAGGTAGACAACGTAAAGTATGTTGGCATTTTTCTGATTTCACATTGTTACAAATTCAGTTTTAATTTAAAAATGCAGGTTTTTATTAAATTAGTTAATATCGGCTTTTCCAAAATTGTTCAAATTTGACACATGTATTCAAGATCCGTAGACCTTTTAAAACCCTATTTACTACTTAAATTAACCAATAGGGAGGTATATATTTGGATAGTTCAAAATTTGAATGAGATTTTCTGATTCCAACGACGATGCAACACTCGGTATGTCTTTCTGTACAAAATTTTTCGATTTGGTACCTCGTTGCAAAATTATTTCGTTATACAGAGTGAACCAAAATAAAAATATTGTCAACAAAACCAGTTCATACCATTGGTTGAAATTTGGCTAATAAAATTATACTAGCTAATAAATTATACTAGCATTATAGGTAATTATGTAATTAAAAAAATCGGAAAATTTAAAAACATTTTTTATTTTTTTATCCTGTATATATGAATTTATGACAAACTTTGTATACCCAGAAATATAACTTTTTTAATATATATTTGTCTGAAAATAAACAATCTGAGCAATTCTGAAAATTATCAAAATAAAAGTATTTCAATGCAATCCAATTTTTGCCTCAAAATAATTCTGAAACCTTGTTTTTTACATTTATGTATGGTTGAATAGAGGGTGGGCGGTTTTAGAAATCGAGCCAAAGTCGATATTTTGCAAAATCTGAAAAAATAAATATATCTAAAAAATAATAAATAGTGAAATAGTGGATAGAGTCCTACAATGGTCCCATCTAAACTATTTTTCTAGAATTAATAGTTTTGCCATGTTTAAGATCAAAATTTTTAATTGTCGATTTTCTTAATATACTCCCTTTTTTAATTTTTCAATTTGAAACATAAGACGTCAATGTAAGAATTTTAAGAGCCCTAATACTCCATAAATTATTATTTATCCCTAGGAGGAGGGTTTGTAGAAGAAATATTTTGTGTATATTTACTTCTAGATATTATAGTAGTGAATTTTCGTAGAGCAAACTTTCATATTCCATTCTACTCCCTAACAGTTATTTATTGTCCTTATTGTTGCTTGAATTGTTAAATTGAACAAGGTAGGAATCAACTTCTGGACTTAAGAACATCTCTGCTAGAGCAACCGCCGACAAAAAACAATAATATGCCTTTAGACACAGTGACAGTAATATAACAAAGTGAGCAATTCTCAGGAGGAATTCTGATGAGGATCAAAAGCAAAGAGCAGCTTTTAATGCAAAAATTGCTATAAATCGTTACTGTCTTGTTCAAAAGCGAATATCTTCAAGAAAAATAAAGCTATTGAGATTAATATACACTCAGATGCAAAAAAACGCAACGGAGAAAATTTTAGTCAAATTTTAAAATGTTATATTTTTGATATTTTTAACCCTATTTCATGAATTTTTTAGCAAGCTCTATATAATTATATCAACTTACTTTAGTATTTAGCATATTATACAAAGGGGTTGTTTTTTACACTAACTTTCAGAACCGTTTCTCCTCGGCATTTTATTTTTTGGATCATGTCAATACATGACTTGGTTAATTTTTAAGAGCGAAATAAATTTGCCACCAACAATTTGCAATTATTTCAATTATCAGTTCTTTTTGAAGTTATTTTTTAATATGACAAAGCGGCTTTGGTGATTATTGTGAACTATATACTACTATAAACTGCCCATCATGTTCGACGTTTGGGAAATGCTTGGTAGGGGGGTAGAGGTCGCGAAGCGAAACCAGCTTCATTAAATGAACTTCCCTTGGTCCTTAAAGAAGAATGAGAAAACATAAGGCAATATGATATAATATGCAGCCTCAATGACGTCATGAACAGATGTATACAGGCAGTTATATCAGCCAAGGGAGACAATACAAAGTATTATGGAATTTTTTACATTTTTTACAGTTTCTATACTTGAGTATTACAGATTTTTTCTTTAATATCGTTAGGTTTGTTATCGTTATTAACGTTTATTAAAACCCGGACTGTATCGTTAGTTTTTAACGTTTTTTTTAATTTAGTATAAAATATCTAATGCAGCATAATATGATGTTAAAACAATAGTCACCAAAACCATCTCGTCGTATTAAAAAATTGCATCAAAATGTAATGATAATTGAAAAAATTTCAAATTCATCGTGATCAGTTCATTTCACTCTTAAAAATTAACATATATTGACATGAATCAAAAAAGAAAATGCTCAGAAGTCGTGGTTCTGATCGTACAATTATATCTTAGAAAAATTTACAAAAGAAATTTTATTGCACAAGGTGTTTTAAAGTTAAGGTAAAAAAAACAACCCCTCGATTAACCCTGTATAATATGCCAAATACTAAAGTTTATAAAAAATTGAGTTTACGAATTAAATTAGAGCAAAAATATAACACTTTAAATTTGACTAAAAATTGCTCCGTTGCGTTTTTTTGTATCTGAGTGTAACAAGTAATTTGCAACTTGCAACCTTAGATTGACGATTTCAAATAATAATTTACAACCTTAGGTTGACTATTTGGTAGCCTAAAAAGGGTAATTTTTGGGTGTCGTCAAGTAATTTTTTTGTGAATTGGCAATTATAACTACTGGTAATATTATATTGTTTGAAAAAAACAAGTCCTTGGAAAAATAATTCATGTACTAATATTTCAGTGCCATATGTATATAGGTTTCAAATTACAGTAACTGACATTGTACAAATAGGTTGAATTACAGTAACTGATCTTGTGAAATTGTAAATATAATATAATATTGTCTTTACAACAATCTCTTTCAATTAAAAAAGGTGTTTATTAATTATGTATTCAACATCGAATCTTTCATTTATTAGGATTAGTACATCTAACAAAATATTTTTAAAGAAATAGTGTATTTCATTAATAAGAATACTTATTTATTCTTTAAATTTAAATTCGGGTAGACTGAAATGCCCTATTTTAAATCTGCAGTAGTCATTCCAAACATTTCTTTCAAAAATAATATGTGACTATGTATAATAACTGCATTGAAATTACATTCACTAATATATTCAGCTACATGTACTACTAATAATTATTCTGTCGACTATTTTTAATTTTCTTTATAAATACAATCGTATATACATTTTTACCCCTGCTATTTATATGTTTGTTTGGTTGTACCCGTATTTATAGTGTACTGTATATCCTGTTTTATAGTGTACGTATTTTATTATAATTTTTTAACATTCATCGTACCAAATTTCGGAGGTTTTAAAAATTTCTTTTCGTATCTCAGAAAATAGAAGCTAATTTATTTACAACAATATAATATAGTCATTTAGCCTCAATATTGTAAATACGTGTAACGAATACGATAATATATTCTCTATCATGAAGAAGATAATTTATAGCCATTATTTATCAATGTCAGATGGATTTTAATCGAACAAGGCTTTAAAAGGTATTGTTTAAGATTTCTATTTGTTATAGAATGAATACAACAGTACTCGGTATGTGGCTACTAAAACAAACATCTATAAACAAAAATAACTGTTTTTTCTGCTTAATAGATACTTGGGTTAAAACTATACAAATTTGTCAAATGACGATAAAAAATGTTTCAAAGAAGATTTGGTAGTCTTCCCTGTCTAGGGATGCAAACTATATATCGATGTTTCTAGCAAAACATTGACGTTCTACTATTGTCAACTATCGATATTTTTCTTACGATATTTTACATCGATATTTTTGAAAAAGGTGCCCTGTGGCGTAGAGGTACAGGCTCTCGTCTACCAATCTCAAGGTAGTGGGTTCGATTCCCACCCACGGCATTATATCAGCTGACTATTTTTATTAAAATAAAAATAGTTTGGGTATCTAGGCCGACTCAGCCTTAAATGAGTACTTGGGATTCACAATCCTGAGGTAATAATAGGCGGTTGAAGCGTAGTGCTAGCCACATTACCATCCTTGTATACCGAACGGCTCTAGTATGCCAAGCTGTACCTTATTACTCCCAAGGCGTTAAACGCTATGGACGTTTTGTCAAGGGACTTTATTACAAATTAAAATCTGACTAGAAAAAATGCATAATCCTTGAATTATTGTTAGTACATTGATATATAAATAAAATCAGAAGAGACCGCTCCGATTAATTCTAGCTTTCTACCT